ACAGGGATCAGATTTTTGCCCACTGGGAGCTGTCAATGAATGCAAAGTGTGACGTAGTGCTTATCTAGCATGCACACGAGGGACCCTGCTGCAAATCAGGAATGACTTCACTAAATCCAGTGGAGCTGAACAACCATAAATGAGCAGAATGAGGCCCACGCATTATCCCAGGCTAGCAAGCTATCTTTAGCAGGCCCTAATGAATTCAGCTGCAGCATGTAGTCATTAATCCCAGCGGAAGGAGCAGCTCACCATTACATGACCTAGGATTTCAAGAGTTTCCTATTAATGCACCGGGTTGCTGTCCTAATGCAGAACCCTCAGTGGTTCCAGGTGTGGGGGAAACATGCATTACCCTGAACCTTGCCAAAATCTTGATAAGGCTCTTTCAGCACCTTCTGCCTGGGTAAGAAGGGAGGAAAGGCTGGGGTAATAGATGGCACACGAGGCCCAGAAATTGTTTATGATGCAAATATGTTTAAAAGCACTGCCTTGCCTCCTCTGGGAAAAGGAGTTTAAAATTGAAGTCTAATGATAACAAATGATTGTTAATGAGTTGTCTAAACATAATAGATGGAAAGAATTAAAAGCCTAGAATAAACAGGGTTTCATTAAAGAACAATAAAGGAACAACACAAATTTCATATTTTAGAATAAATGGGCCCTTGTGGTCTAGCTGGGAGTGGAGGGAACTGAGGTGGGTGCATGGACTGGGAAGGTGAGCCATCTCCTGCCTGGATGTGCTCCCTGGACACAGAGCTCTGGTGGCTGGGCAGCGCTCGCTGGCTGGAGCATCTTTGCAGTGGCTGCTTAGGGCTTCACTTCTGCACAGCTTGCACACATGCTCGACCTGCAGCACAAGAAGAATTCCATCAGCAATCCCCAGGTACTTGAAAGCAGGCACTTGCTCAAGTGTCCTGCTTAAGCACCTCTCAGCACTTTGAGATGGAAGGGAAGATGGGTTTTGCTCAGAGGTGTTCACAGGCAGGGCTAACCCTGGCACTGGAAACCTCCATGACCTCCATTCAGACAGTCCATGTAGCCCTTCTTTACAGCACCAAATATCGGTAACAGGGTCCACAGGACTGCCTGGGGAACTCGAGCTATTCCTAAGTGAGTCTGTAAAAGTTGCTGGAAAAGGCAAGTTCAAACCAGCTGTGTAACTATCTACAGATTGTCTTTTAAGCCCTTCAGAGGCAGATCTATTTTTTTAAGAGCCCACAGATAAAATTAAAGTTGAAAATCACTCCTCTAGAAAAGTGTGCTACTGAGAATGTGAAATTCTGCAGAGATTTCACAAATGGTTCATCAGAGTGTTAGATGCCAAGAGCACACACCATATTTCATCTCAGTGTGTGGCAGATGGCATATTGTGGATAGATTTTAGACCAAGATTTTATTAAGGACATGTGAAGAGATGATCCTTGGTGGGTTTGTTTCCAAGACTGTCTGCATTTGACATGGTGACATTATTGTTATTTGTGTTTAGTGGGGAACTTTGAAATTTCAAAGTTGTTTTCAGACTTTAGAACAGACTTCTACTTAAGGTTTCATTTTAAATCATCCTCCGGATAGGAGTAGTAGTCTGCAAGCCCCTTTTAAACTCTGGGATTTGACTTAGCTTTTAGAATTTTTCATTAAAAGGAAATAGGTGACAATAGACAAAACCTGAAAAGATGTGGCCAAAACCATCAATATTTCATCAGGAAACATTGCTTTTACTACTATTTTACTTATTTATTTTAAAAGGCCCTTTTTTCTCTAGGAATTAAAAAGAAAAATAAAGACAAATCTCAGGACTCTTCACCCCAACCTCCCATTTTTCATTTGTTGGCTTGGAGATCTTTTTTGTATTTCAGAAAGGATTGCATGTTCAGCAGAGTGCATGTGAGAGCAGGAGGTTTTGCTGTGGTGATGTGTCTGTGTTTCAGAGGGTGTCCATGTCCAAGTGTATTGTACTTGTCTTTACTGTTATGCTGATGGTGGATTGCAGATCTGACAGGTTCTTTCTGTGTCTTTGTAAAGCTGCCCAGGACACGGCACTAGAGCACCCCGGCCTTGAGAGAAACCCTGGAACAGCCCTAACATTCAGCTGGGGCTGGCTTCTGCCTTTGTTCGTGTTAATTTGTACTTCGCCCAGTGATTGGTTTGCCTGAAGTTGCTGGCAATACTTGTGAACTGTGCAACTCAAGTGCAGGATAAACCAGGCTTGAAAAATCCAGACAAGAACTAGAGCTGTGCAGTGTTAGAGCTCAGCAGTGTTTCCCAATGGGAAAATGACTTTCCCATGACAAGGTGTCTCTCTTTTTCTTGAGTAAAAATATGAACGTTGTTTTTGGAAGATGTTACTTGGCAGTTTCTGTTGAATCTGGAAAATGATCAATTTTTCAATATGGATTTAGAAATTTTTCTTTAGAATTACCTAGAAAAAGTATCCCACCTCCTCTCTTCAAATCAAGGAAAATCAAGGTTACAAATGAAACGAGGTTTTCCGTAGGAGGAAGAATGTTGCTTGGCATTTTTATTAATAAGAATTAGCACTAATATTTTTATTTTTACCCTTTGTTAGTAGTATTAGTATGGGTATCTCCTTGTGCGTTTAGGCTTAATGTAGTGCAGTCTGCTTTTCTGAGGACATTTGGTCCTGCAGTTGGGCATGTGAGAATTTGGGGTCCTGCTGTACCTGTGACATTGTCAGTGTTAAATATGACTGGGCAAAGGCATTGAAAGAGACGTGTGAATCTTCAGCCATATTTGCATTGAACTCTGTACGTGACTGTGTGGGGAAAAGACACATCCATATGGATATTTTGCTAGTCCTTCAAAAAGGAGGTCTGGTAGTTGACAGTCCTGCTCCTTGGCAGCTGATGAAGTTTCTAATCCAGTGAGAGAAGAGGGAAACTTTCCAAATGCTTCTTGTGCAGCTGAATGACATAAAAATGCAGACTGGGGGTTCATGTCTGAGCCCCTTGGAACTAAGGTGTTCTCAAGAAAAACTTGAGCCAAATGGACCCACTTTCCCAAATAGCTCAATTTTGGCAAAACTTCATTTGATTAAATGAAATTATATTAAAACATTCTGACTGGCTTTAGGGAGGGGTATCACAAGCAGCAGTTTGAGACTTGATCTGGTTAGTCTGATGCCTGACATCACAGACAAACAAAATCCACTCCATGATTTCATACACAGAAATGTCTGAATCCAGCTGGATGCTTGTGTTTATTGAGCCTGCATCCACAGGACTGTGCCTTGCTGGCTGAGTAGCTTGGGTCACACCTCAAGGGTCTGTGCCGTGTGGGTTTGACTATGCTGTGTGGCACCCAAAGCAGTGTGAGTGCAAGCAGTGTTGTTGGTTTAATGGCTGGCCTGCAGGTCTGGGAGAATCACAGAATGGTTGAGGTCGGAAGGAACCTCTGGAGGTCATCTTGTCCAGCCAGGCCCCGTGCTCAGGCAGGGCTACCCAGAGCCAGTTGCCCAGGACTGTGTCCAGGCATCTCTGCTGGTCTCCCTGGCTGTGATTGTAACTGCAAGGAAAGTTAAAAGGCTCAGTTAGGCAGCACAGGCCCTGTCAGTAAATCATTGTGCAGTTCAGGCTGTTTTTTCCCCCAGATTGTACTCCATAGAGAATCAGACAGACTGTGCTGAGCTGGTCCCATCTGCACCCAACCTGGACAGCAGCTTTATCTTGCCTTGTAAAACTGCAGAGCTCTGTGACAAAAGAGTTAATCTCTGCCTTTGTTTCTCTTCCTCTCTCTCTTCTCTCTTGCAGCCGACTGAAAGGCAAGATGAGAGCAGATCCATCAGTGTCAGCTGCTTTCAGCATATCAGCACTTTTGGGGGGTTTATTGGAGACTAGTCCATCAGCAGTGCTTCCAAACTGCAACCACACTGCAAACATGCCCCTCCTCCTGCACGGCAGCCTGGGGACACAATGCCGGGACCCGGTGCCGCTGGCCAGGGGCTGGGTGATAAATGACTGTGAGAGGCATCTCCATGGCTAGCAAAGTCCAGAGGGTAGGCCAGAGCCAAGCTCCTGGGGAGGCACCAATGAAACCATATTAATTTCTGGGCGTGCGTCCATGTGTGTCTGTGTGTCTGTACTGTCTGAAATAATACCCTTGACACAAACACACATGCTTCACTTCCAACACACGGAGTAACATGGGAGAGGGGTGAAAGGGAGAAAGCAATGTGATTGACAGGTTAATGAAGCAGTTCATAATAGCAATGGATATTATAACCTTAGAAACAGCTTGTAAATACCCAGTTGCTTTACATGTATAAACATACTCCCATGCTCAGGACTGTGTATATACATTTGCCTATTTATGAAATATATATGCATATCTAAAAGGTGCAGGAATGTGAGATCAGTGCTCTGAAGCGAAACCGAAGAATAAATAGGAGCTGGATAAAATTAAGCTTCATTAGCCTAGCAGCCATATATATCCCCTGCCTTTTATTTTACTCTTAGGGCTGGAAGTCTTCCAAAGCAGTGGAGGGACTTCGAAGCACACTTCTGACTGACTTGCACTCCTAAGCCCTCTTGGTACTCTTGAAAACTCCACCCATGTGGGGTTGTTTAATTGCTGATGTTTGTCTTTCTGGTTTTTTTGTTGGTTGACTTGAGGATTTTTGGTTTTGTTTGTTTGTTTATTTGCTTTTGTTGTTGATGGTGGTTTTTTGTTTGGTTGGTTTTTTTTTCTTTTCATGTGTTTTTAATCCCAGGGTCTTGGAAAGAGCAGCCTCAGCCCATCCATGGAGGGCTGGGAAGTTGTGTTAGCATGAGGAGAGTGCTTTGAACCCATATCTAATCCAGGGTTTTGACTAATTCCTTATCACTTTGGTATGTCACCCTTTGAAAAGCTGGATCTATCTTTTACTAGGAAGATAATTGGATGTCTTTGTTTGCTTCTGTACTGTACATATCTGTGAGAATTTCCCAGTGTATTCTGGACTGGGGCAATGACTTACACAACAATACTTTCCCTCTTTTGTAGGACTTACTAGCAAATATAAATAGTGACATACTGAGCTCATGTGGATGGACAACAACCCCAGGAGCTGAAAAAACAAGGTCAGCATGACTGAGGACCTTTACTTCTTCATTCCGTGACTCTGCTTTTACTTGCAAGCCTCAATTTTGCAGTAAGATAATTCCTCTGGGTTCTTCTCCGAGCTCCTCTTAGAGAAAAATAGGAGATTAGAAGATTTCTTCTCATACATACAAAGGAGTGTTAAATTTGCCTGTTCCCAGTAGAAGCCAAGCACGATTTCTAAGTATCATGGCTGTGGATGAAAAAATTCAAAGAACCAAGTGTACTGGGAAGCGTCAGAGCCACAATGTTGATAGAACCCAAACCTACACAATGGAAAGTTTATTTTATCACCTTGAAGTTTGGCTCAGACTTGAACTCTTGTGAAAATCCTCAGCAAATTTCCCTCTAAGACTATACAGCTATGTTCTTGGCCTCAGGTCTTCTGGAAAGAGCTTTGGCAGATATTTTCTTCCCTGATGGGAATTCCAAGATAGAAGCACTTAAGAGGTGGGATGTGTGCAGAGACTGCATGGTGTGTGGCACCGTGCAAGGGGCATAGATACACATGCATATCATGGGCAACGTGCAAATAATCACGCCTGCAAGTCTCTAGCCATACGTGCTTATCCTCTTGCTACAGCAGCGAGGGATCATTTTGTTATAAGGCAACTCACACTGTCTTGGTCTCTCTTGACAAGAGTTCTTGATGATCTGGTGATCTGAGCTTACAGGCAAAACAGTCAGGCCAAGTATTTCTGTGTTAATCTTACAGCTGTGGAACAGACGTAACTTGTCCCTGAACACATGAAGAGCTGAAGACAAAGATGGGAACGGGACTCAGATGTCCAGCATGGTAAGCTCATTATTTCTGTTTCTGTCTAGACTGGTCAATTATGCTATAGCAACACTGGCTGAATATTTGCACAGAAGTAAAGAGCTGTGTATTATAGTTTTTAGGAATATCATAACTCTGTAACTGGGAATCCTCTGGGTTGGGGTGCAGTTTGAACCACTGTCTTAAGAATACTGTTCTGCCTAGCATCCTCTGTCCTTTAAGCTCCCTTTTCCTCTGTTCCCTGGAATTAGGGTCTGTAGTTGCTCTACACAGGCACTTTTAACCCTTAACTGTAAAACAGAGGAGAACAAGTAGACTTATGGCAGGATGGGAGGAGAATTTTGATCTGCAGCCTGAAGAATTAGTGTCCTTGCATCAGGTACTTGCCCTTAATTCTCCACTGAGGAGGACTGTCAGGTTTGAGCAGACTGATACTGCTTGTGCAGTTCTCTCCCCTGCCCCAGAGACCAGAGCTGTGGGGTGGGTGTTGGTGAGCAGTTAACTTCGGGTGGGAGCAATAGGTTAGGGTGTGGGAGGTGGCAAGGTCTCCCTGTCTTTGGTGGGGAGGAGGAGCAGGCTGTGCATGATAGTTCAGCTGTCTTCTACCATCTAGGCCAACCAGCCGGATCTGAGGCCTTCCCAAACAGCACAGCAAGCTCAGCTTTGCTGCTGTCAGCACTGCTGAGAGCAGAAGCTGGGGATGAGTGAATCAAAATATCCGGATTGCATGGATATTGGCTGGAAGCGTTCCACCATATCCACGTGGCTGCCTTTGCATGATATTCATGCTCGTCAGAAAATTAATTATTCCATTCACCGGGCTCTGTGAGCCAGGAGGATTACCTCTCAATACCTGGAGTTCCTCATGGGGGTGGGAGGTGTGTGTGTGTGTGAGCTTGTCTGTCTGCATGCCTGCTTATCCACAAGGTATATTGTGAACATGGATGTGTACAGACAGCAAGAGATTGTACAAGACTATAGATACAGGGAAGGAGTTGCACAAGTAATGCAGAAATAAGGAAGATGCTTTGCTCTGTGTGTCTGTGAGAGAGAGTGCCCTTGGGAATGCTGAGGGGCTTTGTCTGCATGCCAGAAAGAAAGGTATTTTCTTCCAGGTAGGTGAGCTGTGTACAGGAAGCAGAGGGTGCAGGGCCTGGGAAGGTGGCAACGCGTTCCTTATCTTTGCCTTTATGTGTGTGAGGGGTATATGCATAGCCAGGCTTTTTAGATCTACCTTCAGAAAGGTTTACGTACGTTTAATACAAGCTTAAATTTGCCCATGGTTTCCTGTGTACTTGTGCTTACAAAAGGAAAAAAGCTCATGTGTATACAATGAGTATTGAAAAACTGCGTATGTGGTGGAAAAACTGGTGTCAGGTGGCATCACATTAGTACCTGTGATTTTGGATACATTAAATTTTGACTATGGTCCTCCTAAATACAGCTCCAGTTCTTGTCTTCCTGTTAGTACAGCTGATCAATCCCATGTACATCAGGGGTAACTTACATCAGGAAGTAAGCAGAATCAGGTCTTGTGATATTTGAAAACAAAAGCTTTGCACCTCAGTTTGGAAGCTTTCCTGTGATCCTCCAAGTTATGTGCATGGGGTAGGGTTTTCCAACTACAGCAGCAAGGCAAGATCTTTTCTGGAAAGGAAAACTGCTTTATTACGGCTTGGCTCTGAGACTGCCCTGATTGGCTCTGCTAGGCAGCACAATGCAGAATTTCAAGCTTGGGGTGTTCTCAGAAATTTGTGTTATTAATTGAAAGCTTATTAATCGCAAACACAGGATGACATTTTACATGGTTTAGTTATGTTCTGTGAATCGTATGTACAACGCAGCCTCAGCCACAAGGCAAGGAATCTCCTGCCGTAACTGATAACAGAGAAGCAATAACAGCTCTGTTCCCACTAACTGGTTCTGGGGCGACAGGGACAGCCCTTGCAAGTGTCTGATCATCTCCTCTCTGGTGGTCACTCATCCTGGGATTAAGGGAAGTCTCAGAGGAAGGCAGACTTACTCACTGAGGTAATAAGCATTTTGGTTTGTTACCAGCTGGCTTGAGAACTTTGGCCTCTCTGAATCTCTGCAATCACCCTTAAAAATAAAAAGACCTCGAAGTGATGGAACTGCCGACATCACACTGAAAGTCAGGAGCCCCGTGTCTAGAGCAGGATATGTGGTGTTGCTCTATATAATTAAACTTTGTTGTGCTGAACTGTGGCTGGGTTCTCTATAGTGATGCTTGAGTCCCCTTCTGTCATGTTTGAGATGTGGGTCAAGTCTGCATCTGATTTATAAGGTATTGGGGAAAGCATATGTTTTTGGAATAAAACTGAATATTTTTTACAATATCCTGCAAGAAAAGTCAGTTTCTTCTGTCCAGCTTCATAGATGGTCAGTGCTATATATCATATAATCGTAGAATACCCTGAGTTGGAAGAGACCTACAAGGATCATCAAATCCAACTCCTGGCCCTGCACAGGACAGTCTCCAGAATCCCACCACGTGCCTAAGAGCATTATCCAAACGCTTCTTGAACTCTGTCAGGCTTGGGGCCATGACCACTTCCCTGTGGAGCCTGTTCCAGTGCCCAGCCACTCTCTGGGTGAAGTACCTTTTCTTAATACCTAACTTAAATCTTCCCTAACACAACTTCACAAGCCAAGTGACCTCAGCCACTCCTCATATGGCTTCTCCTCAAGGCCCTTCACCATCTTTATAGCCCTCCTTTGTGCTATATAAAAATCAAAATGAGATTCGTGTTGAAACAAGAAGATAACAAATGTCTTAGATTCTTAACATATTTTTAAACAAAGTGGCATTGCCCAGTCATTGTGTGGACATGGCTGTGGTGTCCACCTAGTCCATGAAGGGTACACCTTTTTAAAGTAGATTTCTGAAGACCATCATCCAGAGTTGTGTTTATCTTTCTCACAGCTATAGGCATGGGCAAATCAGGCATACTGCTAGGAGAGGCACTCCTGCAAGCCACATCCATGGATCTGCAGCTGCTTTTGTCTGGGAAGAAACAAAGTTTGTACAAAACCTGCAAATATCTCCATCAATCCTCTTTGCCCTGTCCTCCCCACTGCTATATGTGAATCTCCTCCTGTCTGACAGAACTCCCTGGGTCTTTCCCAGGCGTGCTAAGAGTAGTTAAATTCAGTGTTGTCAGAGGTGGTGCTTGCTGATGTTGCTGAGGTTCCTCAGGGAAGCACTTATCATAAGCTCTGCCACTCTGCAGCTATCAGCTTCATCAATGGCTGGAGCTGGGTACAAAGTCCTTTCTGCACTACTGAGAGCTGTTCAGGGGAATGTGGACAGCAGAACATCTCTGCATTCCCTTTTCCAGCAGCAGAATTATTTCCTGAAAGGCACTGTAGGCACTGGGAGGAGATTATAGGCCAAGTGCTTAAACTCTTCCACCCTGGTTTAGCAAGAGCCCCACAGCTGTGGATTGTCTGATGCCAGCAAATAAACCAGATGGACGACATGGATGGAAACAGGCCAAGCTGGGATGGAAAGCACAGAGTGCCCTCCTGTCTTAATGGGCTTCTGGAAGATGAAGTAGCACAAGCTGAAAAGAGCCTTCAGCTGAAAAGCCCCCTGTGTTGAAGTAATGGGAAACTGGACCTATATTTTTTTTGTGGGGCTTCAGCTGTGGCTTGTTGGGATCTCCCCTAATACTACAGGAAGAGTGGTAGTGTCCTAGGTGCCTGCAGGAAGGTAGGGTGTTTCCAGTCTTCATTGGAGAGAAGAATCTAGATCTACAACTGCAGAGAGCAGTGGGCTTGGGAAGAAAAATCCAGCAGTCATAGTGAGAGGTGTCATAGATCGTATGCATGCTAGAGGGTGTCACTGGAGTTGCCTGTTCTGGTTAGCAGGAAGATGAAGCCCACCCAGTCTGCAAAGGACAGTGATGGGTCAGTGCTTCTGAGCAACATATGCTGCTTTTGCAAGGGGCCAGACCCTGTTGTTCTTCCAGCACTTCATGTCTGTGATTTGTTATCTGAGTGATGGCAAGGTCTACCACTCAGATCAAACATTCACCGTGCTAGGTGCTTTATGTACAAGTCTAATGTCCAAAAAGAGCTTTCTCCCATGATTAACAGAACATAATTTTATGGATAGGCTGTCATGAAAGGCTGTGAGAAAACCACAAAGCTTCACTTCACCACCTGTCCAGGGTCCCCAGACTCTGACTTTCTTCAAAACCTGAGATAAGGCAACCTACCTTTGTCTACACATATCTGTTGACCGTTTAGGCACCCAAGCTTGGTGCCACCAAATAACAAGTGATCTGAATGACTCATGGATCCCTTGAGTTTGAAGGCTACAGAAAATATCCCAGGACTTTGAAGACTCACTTGGAATCATACATGGAGTCCATTATCAGTGCTGAGAACCTGACTTGGTCCTAGTCTTATGCCTTAGGCTCATGACTGGTTTTCCTCCCACAAGGCTAGTTGAGATGTTTCAAAAGGTAGCAGCAAGTATGTTCATCAATAGAGTATGCCTACAGCCCCCTTTGGGGTACTTTGGGTTTAGGGTATTCCAGCTTTACTAGGAGATCACTCTCTTACCACCAGGAAACACAATCTGCTGGAGCCTTTCTCCAATAAAGGCTTGAACCTCAGTTCAGTGCCTCTTCAAGCCAGGCCAATCAGCTTGCAAGTCTGTTTTGGAAGAGACTACTGAACACACCCCTTAGCGTGCTGGAAAATTGCCCCTGCTGGTAACAGGTACTGTCCAGACAGATTACACTGTGTTTATGGGGTTCACTGTGGAGGGGTGGATACAGGATACGTTTGCCAGGCTGTTTATGGCTGTGAGGGAGCGTGGACTTTCTAGGTGTGATCCTTGCCTCTGCCATTTTTCCTTCTTCCTCTATTCTGCCATCCCTGAAACAGCCTGGATTGGTTATAGCCCACATTTAACAGTGGCCAACCTGCAAAGAGAGAGCCAGAAAAGTTAATGTGGAGTTCTGGTCTACTCCCAGGATGCATTTGGGCTGCAGCCCATAATGATATGTATAATTGCAAAGGCCTGCCAAAAAAAGCAGGCTGGATTTAATTGAGTCAACACACTGCTATTAATAATAAAATGGCAGAGACTTTGCTATTAATCACTTGTGCTGGCTTTATCACAGGCAGTCTCGGCTATCTGGCTACCAAACAAGACCTTTAAAAAAAATGGTGCAGTGGAAAAAACTTACTAGTGGGAATACACCTGCTAACAAAATAAACCTTGTAAACAAAATGTTCCTTGCAGAAGAATGTTCTTTCTGAAGGGGCAGCTTATTCGGGAGGCAAATGGGATTATGTCAAATGCCTGTGTCCTGCAGCAAAGTCCTCCTTTTATAGGAATAGATCACTGGAGGATGCACTTGGCAAATGGTGCATCTTTGTAGAAGGGTATACTTGATAAAGGACTTTGAACTGAGTGGGCATTCAGGGAGAAATGAATCCTCCAAAGAGAAAGGTAATTTTTACAGGAGTACAGCACAGCCCAGAGAGGAATGCATCTGTTCCTAGTAAATGGAAAACACCATATCTGATGAGTTACTGAACAAAAATGGAAATGCAAACTAAATAGCATTCCTGACACCTAAATTACAGACCTCCTTATGGAGGTCTGGATAAACTGTGGTATGTCGAGTTGGATGGCTGGATGTGCAGCTCTGTACCCCAAAGTGGATGCTGCCAGCACTGCATGCAGCATCACTGAAGGAGTAGGATCTGGTCTTCTGAGGGGTCACCAAGGCCCAGAAGTGCCCTCTTTCCTGTGACCTGACTCGGTGATGCCATGAGGTGGAGGAAAGATTTGAATGGGGCTCGATCTCTTGCAGGTATGCACCATATTTGCTTTCATGCCCAAGTTCCCTGTGGTCCTCCTGACGAAGTCCAGTGCCTGAGGCTGGTATTGTTTCCTCATGGTAGTGCAGTGCATTTTTGAAGTCCATCCTTGCTGAGGTTGTTATCATAGCAAACATGGTAATCACAATCTTCACTTCTGTTTCTGAGTAGAGCAGCTTGCGATGACTGTCTCGGAAGGCACCTTGTGGAAAAAAGTTCTGAAACCCAGGAGGATGGGAAGAGGCTTGAAAACCTTGCATCTGAGCAGGGACAAGGATGTGTCTGTTGGCAAAGGATATACAGCAAGTAGATAAACAAACAAAACAGATTAAATCTGTGATAGAATGTTATGTTGCTTTTAGTCTAAGAGGTTGGAAGGTTTAAAACTCTTCTAGCAGACAGCTGGAAGGGGAGAATCCCCTGACTTCCACATCTGAGAATCCAAAGGAATGGATCTTTTCTTCTCTTGCAAGTTTTCCTGCAAGAAGAGATACATTTTCTGTACACCGATGCAAAAATCTGTGTGCATCATGCACCAAATAGTCAAGCAACATAAATGATTTAACAGGCTAAAAGGCCTCTTTCTACTATGAATTATCAAGGTCCATAAATGAATGCAAATGTTATCTCTCAGAAGGAAAGAGAAAAAAGAAAAGAGAAAAAACAACAAAAAAAAAATTGCAGAAAAAAATTATCCACTTCCTGCTGTTTTCCTTTCCTCCCCATACAGTGAGTGTCTTATCCTCAGAGAAATTCACTTCATTGTTAGAAATAGCCGAAATTGGCTTGCAACTAGTAAAGATGCCAAGAATTTGCACCTTGCTCTGTGACCTAAAGCAAAAATGACATGAACATTGACAAATTTGACAAGGAAATTTGTGCAAAAAACAACTTCTATTTGGCTAGCCAAGCAGCAAATATGTCGGATGATATGCTTTATTAAGCAATCCATTTTTCAGCAATAGCTGCACCATCTGCAAAGGTTAGTGTGCATCAGGCTTTCCACAGAATTTCATCTGCGTCTGCAGCTAGGTGCAACACACGACCACATTTTTCATGTACATACAATTTTGGATGCAAATAGAATACTTGATGAAAGAGGTGACCTTCCGGACTGACTTCCCCATGCAGTAAAGTCACAGGCACAGAAGCAGCTGAGAGAAACATATCTCTGCCTGGAGGGAGGCAGGGAGTAGAAGAGAGGAAGGAGGAGGAAAATGAGACATAAAAAGAGGAGGAAACTTCAAGAAAAAGTGTTTCCCAAAAAAACGGCTTGGCCCATCACATAGCAGAGACTCTGCACTTGTACCAGTCAAAGTGGAATGGAAACTGCTGGGTTAGGTAGCTGCAGTTTTCTTCTGGGTGGTATCCATCTCTCCATCTTACAGTTTTTCTCTTGTTTCCTTGTGTAGTTCACGCTACTACACTTTCTACACTTCCATTGTTCCCTCTCATGGTTTGCATTCCAGACTTGTCATCTCTTAGGGATGGGACATTTACCTTCTTACTACTACAGCCCCTGCCTAGGGCTGCTGGATATCCTTCTGAACATCCTTGGCTGTACAGGATGCATTTTCTAAATCCAAGGAAGGGATGCATTGCTTTCAAGCATTGATGGGACATATCTGTTTTCTACCTTTTTTATTTATTTTTTTTTAAGTCACGATGGTCTTGTCTGTGTATTTTCCTACATTGTTTTGTAGTGGATGGATATGGTCCTTTCATGTCCTATCTGTCCTACATTAGGTGAAGTCAACTCTTCCCTAGTCCCCAGTCCTCTTTCCCAAGTGTATGCTGTACACATGGCTCCCTACGCCTCATTGATGGTTGCTGGTTATAAATTCATGTTCTCAATCCCTACTCCACTTAGCTGAAGTTGGATGCCATCCCAGTGCCTTGCAACTGTCCCTGGTCCAGTGGAAAGTTTAATCTGCCAGTTCCTGCCGTGTTGTCCTATGGGGAGAGTTCAGTTCAGTGCAGCTTCACACTGCACAGAGAGAGAAGCTCATTAGCAGGACATGGTAGTGTCTGATGACACTGTGGTCCAAGAAGGCCTCATTAGGCACAAAATGTTTTCTGTAGCTCTCTGAGATTTCCTAGTAACTTAAGGAATTCAGACATAGCTACTGTGGGGGCATAGAGGAAATGGGGGACAGAGATGCTCTCTCCAAGGGCCATCTCCCATCTGTGTCTTTTGGAGGAACAGACATTGGACAAAGCCTTTGACTCCTTTTCTGTAGCCTTGATCCTTTCTGCAGAGATGCAGATGGCATTGGCTGGGCCTGGCAGGCACACTCTTCCCTGGTTAGCAGCTAAGCAGTGTTAAGTGATGAATGTTAAACTTAACAAGGGGTCTTACAGATTTACGTAAGGATTTTACTGCCTGCCAGGTATAAATGATGGAACAGCTTTGATCTTTAGGGGGATCAGTACTGGAAGTGATTTAAACTAAAGTTAATAAAACTGCTTAAAACTGTACTCTGTAGTCCCACAGGCTGAAGGAGCCCTTGGCCACTTGACTGCTCTAAGTAAAAATTGTTCACATTTATGAGGGAGACCAAATCCCAATGGTGTTAACTGTGTTTCCAGCTGAATAATAAATGGTATCTTGCAGGAGTCCTGCAGGTCCTTCCTTCCCTGTGTGCACTGCAGGTCCCACAGCCTGCTGGAGCCACCATGCTGTAATCCACAGATACAAAAAAAATGGTAGACTCTTGGTAGTTCTGTGGGTTTTTCTCATTCTCTCTCCACTTTGTAATCCCTAAAACATGTCTAATCCTTTTGCCATTTTGTAGCATGTCACAAGCTTCCATTGGTGATTTTTTAAATTTTATCATCAAGCAGAATTCTTGTTGTTTTATCTTTGGAATTTGCTGACCAGCAGTGACAAGTACATGCCGTAAACATTAACATTTCATTGGCTTCGTGGTGAGCTTTGCCACCAATGACCTTTAGAAACTGGGCATCACACTACAGTTTTTACTAATGGTCCTGTAATGTCTACTTCCACCACAATGCATCTTAAGAAAGTTCCTCACAAAGGTGAAAATTATCCTTTTTAATGGACAGTCCATTTTCTGTCTCCCAGGAATCTCAGTTACCTCCTCTGCTATAATCATGGGTATTTCCACTGGGGATTTCTGTGATGTCCCAGGATGAAACAGTGTGAGCTGCAGTGGGCGGGGTGCTCAGATGCTGGTGCAAGCAGCAGTTGCATAATCTGCACTGATTCAGATGAAGAAGTGGCTCTTTTGTAACTATTAGAGGAGTTGATGGGATTTACTGGCAGCCCTGCATCAGCCCAGCTCATTAGGTTTACAAGTTACAAGAGAACAAATTCCATCCGTTAATTGTTCGCAGCTATGAGGCAAACAGGCCTTCCCTGCATGCCAGGGGGTCATACTGTCAACTGCAGTCACCAAGCTGTCCCTCCACAGACACACAAGTCATCCTGCTATTGCTATAGGGTTTTTTAATTCTCCTGCCATTTCCTAGAAACTCTTTATCTACCAGAATGCCTTCTGTCTGCTTGGTAACAAAACAAGTAGCCTTTCATGGCCCTCTCTAGAAATCGGTGATTGGCAGCCACTGAAATTGAATTAGCAGTAACTCACCACTGGTAGAAAAAAATACTTTTTTTGTTTTTATTTCAGCCCAGTGCACTGTTAGTGATGGAACTCTGCAGTACAATGATTTGATGAGGCCATGATCTTGGAAAGATACAAAAAGAGATGGGCTGTTTCAGGCGAATCATGAAGAAATCCTGAAATATAAAGGTACAGTCAAGTCTGGGATGGGATTTGCTCTGTAGGGGAGCCAGCTGGAAGCTGCCAGTGCTTGGGAGGAAGTTGCATGAAAATCTTGTTACTTGTACCTTGTTATATAATTACCTCTTGCAGAGTGGGGTTTTTTTTCTGATTTACAGTCACTGTTGGAGACAGGTTATGTGCTTAGAGAGACCACTGGCTGGATAGCCTGGTATTTCCTGCGTTCTTACTTCCACGGATCCTCTAATAGCCCTGCTGCCCAGCTTTGTCCTGCTATTGTGTCTCACTGTGAGAATGGTCTATATCTGAGATTGTCGGGGGATTTCTGCAGGCAGCTTCTAGTGGTATTTTCTGAGCCCCCTGATATGCTCCCCACACTACTGTAGCATTTTCTAAATTCCCTGGGGGCTGAGGGTCATCTCTCACTTTACATAGGATAAATTGATAATGACACAATGAAATCAGTCATGATGAAATAGCTCCAATTTTATTACAATGAAAGGGGATTTTGGATCCGTGTTTCTGTTGTGTTGTGTCTGGAGCTGTGCTTACACCACAGTGGCTTTTTGCCAGAGATTTCCAATTTTGAGGTCTCCTGTCCCATCCCATCAACTTGTAGCTAGATTTAGCAAACTTTTTTCCAAGGTTTTCTGTGTGTTTCCAGAGAAGTTTTTCCTGTTACATCTTGTAGCAGCCTGTCTGTTCACTGTGGCTAGATTTTTGTGGGGCCACAACTGTTGCGTTAGAGAATGAGGGAAGTGATAGATCATCTAGTGAAGACTAGATGATCTGCCATGGCTGGAATTTGCTCCTCACCCACCTGTCAAAGCAAGAGGAGAAGTAGTTTGGGAGGCATCACTAGTTTATGGCTGTTTACTTGTGGTTGCTATTTCTCTCTTCTGTTGTACTACTGCATTGGACTAAGGACTAGTTTCAAGTAGCTTTCTTACTCCCTTGAAAAAAATGCTATATGTCCCTTGAAGTCTGGGGAAATCTGGCACATTGTACCCTGAGAGTCCTTTGAACCTGACCCTCTGCTCTCAGCTCATTTCTGCTGCCTGGTATCTTGCCTGTGCTGCAGTGTGGAGTAGAACACTGAAGTATTCAGACAGGATAAATCAATGGGTGTCTGCTGATTTACACCACTGGAAGGTTGGGCCCAGGTCAGATAGAGAGCAGAGAACCCTCCAACTGAATCTCTTTAAGTGAAACCACAGGCAGGTATTTTCAGCCCAGTTAGCTGGGCATTCAGTTATGGCTTTTGCTACAGAGTAAAACCAGTTTTTCCAAAGGACATCGGTAGCAATCTCTTAAAAAAGGAGTTGTGGCCCCTCCCCAGTGACCTTTCCTTGTCAAATGCTACATGCTGTGATGTTCCTACACAATAGAGAACACTCTGCTCTCTGTGTACTTGGCAAAGGAAGAAATGGCTTTTTTAATCTCATTGCATGAATTATTGGCAAAACGTTTGAAGTGACTCCAAGATTCCTCTCTGACTGACTTGCATTTTCTCAGGAGATTTGTGTAGTTTGGGAGTTTGGAACCTGTAACTGAATAACTTGGAGAAAGCATTTGCTACATTTTGAAAGGATGCTGTGTCCTTGCAGAAAAAACACTTCATCTGCTGCATCAATGTCCCTTCGCAGAGGACAAGCCTTCCTGGGTGTGACGTGCTGTGTCCCCCCAGAGGATACCTACCCCTTCTGCTGCCCCTCCTGGTCCTCAGCGCAGGTATTGCCCAAGGCAGTGCTTCCCGTGGACACTGCCCTCAGCATTGCCCTCAGCCAGCCATGGGCGCAGGAGCAGAGCTCTGCCCTGCCAGGCCTTGGACAAACATAAGCGTGTGCCAGCGCTTGCCCTGAATAATCTATAGAGACCGGGCATGGAAACACAGGCAGCAGCGTGGAGTATCAAGGAAGTGCCAGAACTGGGATTAAGACCTGTGCTCCTGTTGCTGCAGTCTTGTCAACCCTGAGGTACAGGGAGGGACAGCTCACATTGGTAGCCAGCCCTTTTTTCTTTGTGTACTGCTTCCCTGGACTCACTAATGTGGCTCTGCCATGGGCCAGGTATTGCTCCAGGAATCCAGTGCAGACCACATCCATCCTTTTTGCTGGAGCATCCCTCTGACTTCCTGCTGACCATGGTGAGCAAAGGCTTGTCACATCACAGGGATGGCCACCTCCCCTCCTTCAGTGCTAGGCTTCTTTTTGCAAGATCAAAGTGGAGGGAGTGTGCCAGAACCTGCCAAACTGCTGCTGGGGAGACTGACAGGGAGTGACAGAGCCTGAAACTGTCTGGCAGATTGTTTGTTTAATGGGGGAAAATGTTTTCCTGACACTGTAGAGCACTTTGAATCACAAACGATGTCAATAACATACATTCACCTGTTCCTAGCACAGAGTTCTCCCTCCTATGCCATCCCTTTAGCAGGATACTCCATTAGTGCCCAGACTGCCACCAGGCAAATGCC